ACTGTATTATTGATGTTGTTCTTGCTGTAGCATTGTGGGTCAAGTGAAACTAAATTTATAAAACATATTTTAATAGCAAGTATATAGCAAGAGGAGCTAAAATCCATTATAGTCGGTTTTTATGTTTTAGACTTAAAAATCAAGTTCTGAAGAAATTTTTCTGATTAAGCGAGTCTTTACAGCTGTTTTTATGTTTTACTCTAAAAATCGAAATTTTGAAAGGAAAGTTACTTTTTGGAAGAAAATACAGGTGAAATAACGTGTTTTAGCGAAGATTCATCTCATATTTTGTTTTTGGTTAAAAATCGATTTCTGAGATTTAATTGAGAGGTTTTATTAGACAGACGGACAGACATGACTTAAGTTACTGAATAGAACATAATTTTGATACATTATAGTCTTAAGACCCCTCTTTTTTCTTAACTTATAGCAATTTAGTTTAGACGAAGACCCACTGTGCATAGTTTGAAAGCTTTTCATCGTAACACATTTGTTTTTTGTAGCCTTAAGTTGAATTTTTGGTTTTTATTTTTCATTTTTACTTCTTTTGGCCGTTTTATTGCACTCATTGTACATCATGCATCTCTTTCTTTCGTGTGAGATTCCTTAGCAAATGTTGTGTTAAGTTGTTAGTGTTGTTGAGCTTTACGACTGACTCTACTGATGATGGCAATGATGATGATGAAATATCTCAATGTTTTTGCTATTTTTGCTTCAACTCCTTTTCAAAAGCGAACGAATTTCATTTTGGGTTTGCTCTGTGTAAAAGTCTGTTTGTGTTTGAATTGATGAATGCTACACAAATTACATTAAAACTAAGGACTCTTACGTTTTTTTCCTTCTCATTTCATTTTTTTGTTTTTAATTTTCTCATTGCTGTTTTTTTGTATTTAACTCTCCCCTTTCGAATCCTTAAGGCTTTTAGCCAAAAGCATTGGGTTGTTATGTTATGTTGGCAGAGAACAGAATAGAGTCTCTAAAGTAAAACTGTGCAGAGCAGACACAAAGAAATGTTTTAAACATCAATGGCATTAAATATAACTGCCAGTGACAGTTTTGTGTCGCAGACATTCTCATACTCCTTATGAAAATATCATTCATCCTATATCTATGTATATATATATACATATTTACTCTTATTGTTGTTGTTTAAGGATACAACTAAAAAAGTTCTATTTTTAAGAGATTTTCTGTTTGAAATATTTTGCTAAGTTGACGGAAATAAAAATGTTTGCAGTAATAAACATTTTTGTTTTTATATATTAAATCATATTTTTGCGTTTAAAAGTATCGTCATAAAAATAAATCATTTTGTTTAAAAATAACCTTGAACATTTTATGTTCAATTATAGGAAATGTTACAGAGAACAGGAAGTGAAAAAGGTAGAAAAACTCCGCCTAATGAGTTTAATGACACTACTTTTAAACAGGAGTATGTTTAACTTTATGGACAATTTGTTACAAAGAAAATTTTATATAAAAAAACTTTTGATATTCACTAATCTCAGTGTTATTTGGTGTACTGATTCCGAATATGGAAATAAAAATGTCGTATCACCCATTTTTTCACATTTTCATCTTTTAGTCCTTCCGACTGTTTACTTCAGTCCCAAATATAAAATTCTGTAATTTTACAGAAGTTGCGAATAGTGACCGCCTCTGCCTCTAGTCTTGTACTTAAGATTATAGAAAAGCATTCTGGATAACTTGGTCCGATCGTTATAATCTATATATATAAAAGAGTAGCGTTACTGACTGACTGATTCATCATCGCACAGCCCAAACGGCTGAACCTAGAATCATGAAATTTTGACAGTAGATGTGTTTTTGGTTACGTTACGAAATTTGTACATTTAAGGGTAAAAAAGGGAAAACGGGTAAAACAGGTTTTCTTAATTATCTTATACAATATTAGTGATATAAGAAAATGCACCTGTATCTACTCTTAAAATGAGCAGACGATTGTCTGGTACTTTTTTGAAATTCGTACTTTTAAGCGGTGAAAATGCGTAACAAAGGTGATGTTGGTACCTTTTTTTGGTCCTTTATAACTTTTTAACTAATAAACTTAATAGATTTTTTTGTAAATATTTTGGATATATTTTCCTGTTTCTTACTTTTTTAAAATTCAGTTCTTTTTGGGTGTAAAAGGGAGAAAGCTGTATTTTGGTACTTTTTTTAGCACATTAAGAAAATTTTACTTACTTACTCTGTAATATTTGTTGAAACAAAATATTTGCTATTTCACTGTGGAAAAAGTACCAAAAAGGGGAAAAACGGGAAATTTAATTTATTCAAACTAATTGAGCCAATTTTTATAATATTTGAAGAATAGCTAATTTGCTCACACAAAATAAGCTATTGGTATATTATTTTGGTGTTTGGGTACTAAGGTCTATATAGGACCAAATTCGAGTAAATTGTGTGGTACTATTTGAAAGCACAATTTTTGCAGATATGAATTGTTTGAGTTTTATCTTTAATATATAGATTTAAACACGGAATATTTTGTATACTTAATTTTCGAAAAAGTCTATTCCTAGACTAAGGGGGAAATGGTACTCTTTTTATTAGTACTTTCCACAAAGGTACTTTTGGTTCTTTTTCTTTCTTCAAATAATACTCTTTGTATGTTCTATGGTATGAGTTCAAAACTCATGATTATTAAACATACTCGGTCCTTTTTTAATATGATTCTTTAAGAGAGAACTTCTTAGTACCTTTTATCTTTCAAATGGTATTTTTTGAATTTTCTAAAATATTCCACCTAGAAACATAAATTTGAACATACATGGTCCTGACTGAATTATAATCTGTAAGAAGGAATTCTTTCGTACTTTTCCATTCTTCAAATGGTAACTTTTGGTACCACAAAACATGACATGTAGAACATACATCTGAAGTTTTAGTAAAATCGAATAAAGTTGACACATAAACTGTGAAGGTCAAACTCGAGCTATTCGGTTTCAACATTAAAAATAGTCGAATTGGTTTCAAAAGTTTTTACAAACCTTAATTCCGTTGGCCTATGTTAACAGTTGGAATTCGTGCCTATGTATACATAATCTCCCACTAAAAATCCATTTTTGAGCGAAAACATAAAAGTCCATTTTCTGTCTAAACGGAAGGCCCTAGGGCAATAAGAATAAAAATTTGTGATTATTTTTATTTCTCACCAAAATTCGATTTTTTAGTGAAAACATAAAAATCCATTTTCGGGCTAAACGGAAGGCCCTAGGGCAAAAGTCCTGAGTCTGCAAAAAAAGTCCTGAGTCTGTCATTTAGACCCAATTAGACCTATTTCGAAACAATTCGAGAAATTATTTTAAAAATTATACTGAGGCCAGGATTTTTTATCGCTGGTGGGGAAGTAAAGACCATTCCAAAAATATATATAATTTTCTTGTATTCGTATTTTCAAGGCTGTTCATCGGGACACTCTAATGTACATCCATCTTAACAAATATTTATAAATTTCTGAAAATTTTTAAGATACTTCAAATTCGACCTTTGTTCTTATAAAAGTACAAAAAAAATCTGAAAATATAAAAACTAAATGATGAGGAAATTGAGGTGTGTATGTCTTACTGGCTGCATGTAAGATGGGGGTGTGTTTTATAACTGTTTTTGACACATTAATAGAGAGTATTTATTTCTTGTTAATCCATCATTTTCCGTTATTGCTCTCTCATGCTTTCTCTCTATCCGGTACACTTTTACTTTGCAAAATGTTACAGTAAGAAAGAGACAAATATATACATACTGTCAAAGAACATAAATATTAAACCTTTAATATTTGATAAATAAATATTTCCTTTAATTTATTTATTAATATCATTCATTTTTAAACTTAAATTTAAAGATTTTATTTCAATTTAGAAACCTAGGTTAGTTTTATGTTTAAACGTTTTCGCCACGCAAATATTGAAAAACTCACTCGTGTTGAAGACACATCACATGCACAACTACTCTGTGTGTGTAATTTTTTACGCATTTAACACGTGTCTAGAAGTCGTAAAAATCGTTAACATTTATTTTTGCTTCATTTTACGTCCTTTCTGCGCTCATTTCTTTCTGCCTTGCTCGACAAGCAATGGCAGAAGTTTAAGGATACAAAAATAATAAAAGAAATACTGAATGAAATGTCGTAAAAGTTTATGATTATTTTTGTCATGTTTTGTATTGTAATGCTTACAAACACTTTTGCTCTTCCACTGATGTTTTTGTTCTTGTTGTCTGGTGGCAGTTGTTGTAGTGTCAGTTAACTGTCAAATTGAATTTGTTTAGGCTAAATGTTTTTTTCCTTTCCTCTATACATGTGTATGTGTAAGTTTAAGCTCTTTTTTATTATCTTTTTTTCTTTAACCAAAAAAGAAACTTAAATAAATAAGGAATCCAACAGGTTTTATATTTTTATGTGCGTTAAGTGCACTTCCGAAATTTTTGAGCTTTACGATGTTTTTCTTCTTTTGTTGTTGTTGCTGCTGCCATTTTTGCGTTACCGGAAGTTGTAGTGTCATGCTGATATTTGTAATTTTTAACACCATTTTATTTATGTTTATGTCGTGTTGTTGAATTTTTATTTTTTTTGTATTTTTATTATTAAACTTGTCAGTTGTTATTGTTGTTGGTGTTTTCATGTTGCTTTAGGTCAAGAACTTGTACTTTTTATGTTGATTATTTATTTTATTTGACGTCTCAAAGTCGAGGTCAAATTTTATGTTCTTTTGTAGACATTTTATGTTTTTATATTTCGATTTTTTTTGCTGTCAAAATGATGAAAGAGTCTCAGTTTGTTGTGTATGTATGTTGTTTAAAGCCAAAGATTTAGGACTAAAATATAGTAAAACAAATTGTTTTGTCATGTTAACTAATTTGTATAAATGTTTGGATAAATTTTTTAAGGAAAAAGGAAATAGAATACTCTCCTTAAGTGTTTGAATTCAGGCCAATTGTTAAAGGGATTTTTGGCCAAGGTATATGTGACATAACATGGAAAGACTTTTTTTGAGTACATTCATTAAATTCTTATTAATTATACAAATCACAAAACTTAAATTTAAGCGGCTTGGCCGGTATATTAATAATATTCGTTTTAAACATGTCAGCTGTAGAATAATCAAACTTTATCTCAAAATTTCTTAACAATCTTGCCAGCACAGTTTCCAACTCTAAGTCCACAATACGTTTTCCAATACAAATGCGAGGACCGAAACCGAAAGGCAAATAAACAAATGGATCTCCTTTGTTGGCAGGACACACGTTTTCCGCTTCAGCTAAGGCTTGGGAACGTAGCCAACGTTCTGGCAAGAACTTGTCAGGATATTCAAAATATTTGGGATCTTTTAAAAGTAATTGAGCAGTCATGGAAACGTCAGTATTTGCAGGAACACGAAAACCACTCAGTACAGTATCCTGGCCAGTTGTACGGAAGTTACCCGTGGCTACGGGATATAAGCGCAATGATTCTTTAATGCAGGCCCTTAAATAGGGAAGATTTTTCATATTTTCCTGATTTAAAGCAGAATTTTTATCTGGTAAAATTGTCAATAGTTCCCGCCTCAAGTTTGCTTGCTTTTTGGCATTTGTAGCCAAAGTAAGTAAACAGGCGGTCAAGGCAGAAGTTGTCTGGGAAAGAATTTAATTTAACTTTTTATAACCTCTTCATTTCCGAATAAACTTACCGTATCTACTCCCGCTAAAAATATATCCATTGCCATGGTTGCGGCTATTAAAGGATCTTTACTTGCCAATCTTTCTAAAATACTTTTTTCCTGTTCTGGCTTATTTTTACCTTCCCTCTGCAATCTTTCTAAAGCTTTATTAACATATGTTAAAGAAAGTTCATTCACTAAATCCAATATTCTAATAATCTTCTTAAATTTTGGTGTTGCTATAAACTTCCACATTGAAGGTTGCATATCCAATTCCAAAAGCAATTGAAAGAATTCTTCCATATTATCTATTACAATTTTTGCATCAGGTTGCGCTTCACTGTTATCTAGCATATTTAAGTCTGTATCTAAAGCTATTAGACCCACGGAGTCCATGGTCCAATACTTTATATATTCTTCGAAATTTTCAGGAACTTCTTGGGTATTGGGATCTCGTATACGTTTTATGCATTCAATGAATTTTTTCGCCATCTGATCTGTTTTTGGTATATACATTGTTATAGTTTTAGGATTCATCATGACTGGATTGACGGCAGAGCGAAATTTGGACCAGTTTTCTCCTTGTCTATACAAAACAAGCAATTAATATTACAAAAAATTCCAACAGTAGGATAACTGTAAAAACTTACTCTGCCACCAAGCCTACGGCATGCTTAAAAACATCCTTTCTAAGTTCCTTGCGATGATATTGTATTATATCTAATCCTCGGCGTATAGGATATAAACCTTCTGTGCGAAAAACTTGCTGATAGTCTTTGGGATTATAGGTGAAAAGAACATCACGTTTGCCGAAAAGTCCCGGTACCAAAAATATGTCGCCATACTGAGATCTCAATTGGCGGTTAAATTCTATAAAGGATTTCTGATAAAATCTTCCTAGGACAACACATAATAATTAACCATTAAGGACGGTGTGAATGTAAAATTTCGTAACTTACCTCCCGGCATAAATGCCCTCAACAATTGTAATTTAGAGGGACCTGGTATGCTTTCAAATGGCTTAGCAGACAACCCTTCCGTGTTGGGTGTTATATGAAGCTTTATAAATTATTGTAAATAGTTGTTTAAATTGTTTAATATTTTAGTACTCACATTGATAGCTGTAGCATATGGATATGAAAAATTTACACAATGTTGAAGTTTATTTTTTACTTTGGCAAAATGCGTTTTAAACATTTTTCTAAAATTTATGAATATTTATTATCAAAATGATTCAGAAAAAATAAACACAATTGTCTTCCAACAAAGTCTTTATACTTTAGAGACTGACAGACAACTGATTAAGAGAAGCACCAAAAAACATCAGTTTGTTTTTGAATAAATAAATTAAGATAATTAAATGAAAACAAATACTGAGAAATTAACTTAAACTTGAAAATATTTATCAACAGCAACTGTTAAATATTCTGTTAGTAACTTTGAAACTGTTAGTAGCAAGCAGCATTGTTATTAACATGTATACGATCAGAATTTATTTAGGATGCAAAAAGTATTCCTCCTAAAAATATACTCTTCAATTTATGACATTTTTAATTCTTAAAAAATAGATCAGGCATGGAAAATTGAAATTTTCAAAGAGTGCTAATTTATAACAAAACAAAGTGTGAATCTATAGTCGGTCATGATACCCTACCGGACCATATGATACCCTACACCAGTTTGTATGTTAAAAAATAGGATTATTTTTAAGAATAAAGTATTTAAGCTGTTTTTATCTTAATTCCGAAATATTTTAACAATCTGTTGACAAAAAAGTGATTTAATGGAAGAGAGGTTATATGGGGCCAAGAAGGATTTATGTTAACATTGAAGTTATTAATGCAGAATTTCATCGTTATGCTAGTGTTTATAAGTGAATTATTGATCTTCAAGTTATTTTCTGAAGGGGGCTTAGTATGGGAACTAGCCCCGATGTTTACGAAAATCGGCAGTATTATTTCGACTTACATAACTTAAACAAAGTATTGTTGATTTTTGTAGAGTACTAGAACATTTAACATAATTATGGGCTTAAAAGCCATATTCGGGGGGTATGGGGGCTAGGTGAAATAATGAACCGATTTTAACCACTTCCAATAGGCTTCGTCATTGGGTCAAAATAAATATATGTGCCAAATTATTTTGAAAATTGCGACCTGTAGTTTGATTACAAGGTTTACATGGATGGACAGAAAATGATTATGAGCCGATTGGTATACTTTAAAGTGGGTGTAAAGCCAATATTTATATGCGTTACATATGTACATCGGGGTAGGGTATAAATAGTCCTTTTTATGTTTTAAAGTACTAACTATAGACTTTTTGATATCAAAAAATACCTTCTATTGAAGATCATTTAAATAATCCTACGCTAATCTTTCGTTTCATGCAACTTATGGGATTCCACTCAGTTCAACTTATACTCAATTCCAAAAATTAATTTGTTGTTATTGAAAACCCCCTAAAATGATCCGCCGTTCGTGCTTATTTTTGGTTAATTTAGTCGTCATCCCCACTATATAATAACATATAATTGGTACAAATAATACTAATACAATTTTATTTTAATTACTGGAGAAAAGGCTGAATATTGTTGAAAAAATTATATTAAAATAGAAAAATATTCAATATTATTGTAGGAGGTGCCACGCCTACTTTTTTAATTCCGTCCATTTTGATATAAATTACGTAATTATAGCAATGTCTCACATTTACAGTTTTTAGGAAATATTTATTATTGTTATTAAGAAAAAAATTTTAGTTGGAGATACCACGCCCACTATTCAGATTCCGCCCATTTTTATTTCAACTAAGTAAATTAATAATTAATTTGTTAACTCTTCCAATGTTTTCAAACTGCGAAATAAATTGTTATCGATATATAATTAACTTGATGTGCTTCCTACGACAAAAGGAGCTCCTTCAATGAAATTTTCTAAACCGAAAAATCTGGCCAAAAAAAACCAATAGTCGGTTTAAAACCAATAAACTTCTTTCAAAATAGTTCGCTGTAATCACTAAATAAAATAAAAAAATTTACAACAATAGCTAACAAAAATCGTTTATCCTCTTCTAAACACCACTCCCACTGACACTAACATCGCTATCATCACAAAACCCCTCGAAATGCCATCAATGAAGATACTCCAAATCATATTGACACCCTCTCAAATGTGATGCGAGCTGAAGAAGATGGAAAAATCGAACTAACGTCTTCCATATGTGACATAAAAGGAAACATGTACATCATCCACTTCAAATTCAAGAAGTTTTATTTTTTTTTTATTTCATCTTCCTCAATGTCTTTATATTGTCATTGTCATCTGTTTTGGCACTAAAACGTATGTTAAGTGTATAATTTTTATAACAAAAACTACCAAATACTTTTCATTGATGGTAATAATATTATGTGCCATTTGGTTTATTTAAGTTTTTATACTTTCAACAACAATATGATTGAATTTTTGTAGACTGAAGAAAAAAAGAGGCAAAAACAGTCAAGTAGTTTAACAGATATGTGTACTTGTCTCAAATGTTTTATTAAAGATTTTTTTTGGATTTTAATGTGAACAACAGAAAGTGTTATATGATATCTAGATTGTTCGCTTTAAAAAATATTTAGAAATAATGTGAAAATAGTGAGAAATTGTGTGGCACAGTTTGAAGCGATTTGTATTTAAAATTTGTAACTGCCTAAAGTTATGCTTTATTTTTCCTTAAACATCACTGATCAGGGATCATGTTTATTATAAATCGGAAATTACTGCATTTTCGAAGGAAAAACTAGGAAATACTCTATATAATAGATCCCAGTTAGTTGATTTAAGTTATAAATGGGTTTTGGTTTAGATTTTGCCAAAAAATGGATAAACTATTCTAAACATCCTATTTCAATGTATTTCATTGTAACTGGAAAACAAATGTTTTATTGAAGAATAAATACTTATAATTTCAGGAATAAATTTTTCCTTAAAATTTTTCAAAAGCAAATCTCTCCTTTAATTTGCTTTGCCGTTCCCTTAAGAGAAAATAATCTTTAGCATACAATTTCAATTTTCATATTTTATTTAATTTTAAAATTAAATTCGCATTCCTTTCCACAAAGGATATCATTTTAATGAATTCAAAACCCCCAAAGAAGAAGAACTCACACTGATGAATTAAATGAAATGCAACCAAGAGAAGAGAAAGAGCAAAATAAAAAAATATATTAAATTAAAAAAATAAGCAAAAAAAACTCCTACAAGAAAAAGGAACTGTATACAAAAAAGTAAGTCAACTATAGTGCGTCCCCATATACAAACAAACGAACAAATAAACCGACACACTTACATACATACAATAGCAGAAGCAAAAGAAACGCCGTCATGCATATATTTCAGTGACAGGACATGATTAATGGTTGTCATTGCCAAACAAAACATAAAAAATTGTTTTTCTTTAATGTAAACATACACAATTTCTCATATAGAAATGTATCCTTCTTGTATTAGTGTGTGTGTGTGTGTGTGTAAAAATAATACTCACACAAACATTTATTCATATATACACAAAGAATTTTTATCGGATAAAATGCAATGTTACTTTTGTGTTTTTTTTTGTTTCTTGTTACCATCACATCATCAATGTAACACACTATACTACCACTATTACACTTGATGATGTTAATGATGGTTGTGAGTTATTTCATAGAAAGTGTGTACCCGGAATAGTTGACTATATAGATATTGTAAGTCTGATTTTAGCACAATATCTCTCAATATCTTGGGTAATACAGAGTTATGATAAGGCACTTTTCATGGACTCAAATTAAAGACATGAACTTGAATGTCGCATCATGTTATGGTTATCGTGTTACCAGAAGTCTTTGAAGTTTGATATAGTCAGAGCCCTTAGGGTGACACAACCTTAAGATAGTTCAGATAACGATGTACTACGATATACAAATCTGTGCTTCTGTAGAATAGGGCCGTCACATAAAAGGTTCAACGATTCTTTTTCATCTAAACTTTTACAATATATGTTACATGGTAATAGTAGACCATAATGTTTAGTTAAATGCAATACTGACTTTGAAAAGTCCATTTTGGTATATAAAAATTCTAAATATGGTAAGATGATCCACTCATTTAGTCTTGCAAACTCCACTTGGCCACATATTGAGTAATTTTTTGCTTAATTAGTAATTTTGTCATTAATTAGTCTCCAATATCTTTTTTCGTGTACAGTCGTTACATTACTTATAAGCAAATGATGATGAACTTTAAAGCAGTCGAATATGTACGTAACGGTAATGAAATTACTATGAATATTTTAACAACAATAAAAAAATGTTTGCAAAGAATAAAGTAGTCGTCGAAATAGAGGAAAAAAAAATGAAACATTAGTGTGCAAAACAACCATTTGACAGGATAACACCACCCTCTATTAACAAAAAGCTTGATGATTTTGTTGTTTCTCCAGAGTATATGCTTGTTGTTGTTGTTTTTTGCGGATATTGATATCGCGTTTTTCACTTTTCGTATACTATCGATGCTTGTTTTGTAATTGTAGTTAATGTATACTGTTGTTGCTTTGCTGGTGACAAGGAATTCCCTAGCAATTTTGCAATTGCGTAACCTTTCGTTTAAAATTTCAGTGCGAAGTCTTAGTATAGCACAACAGGATACTTGTAAAAGCTAGAAAAATATTCACTATACATTTGCAAGTGGATCGATTGGGAAGTGAATAAAATGATGGTATAGGATATAGTTTCTTTGGTTGAGCAAAGGGAGACTGTGTTGTCTACATTGAGGATTTTCGTGTGGGAATTCTTAAGGAAAATAGTATTTGCCGCTATTAGAAATTGAGCATTAAGACAGGATTAGATGAGTACTAGACAGAGTCTAAGACGAAAAGTTGAATACAGTTTCTTTGGTTGAGCAAGGGGAGATATAGTCGTCTATCGATTTTGTTGAGGAAATTCTTAAGGGAAATAGTATTTGCTACTATTAGAAATTGAGCATTAAGGCAGGATTAGATGAGTACTAGGCAGAGCCTAAGAGGAAAAGTTTTCTATATTTATACCCTACACAACTTTAGTGGGGAGGGTATATATTAAGTTTGTGCTGATGTTTGTAACGCACAATAATATTGGTCCTCCTTAAAGTATACCAATCAGCTTAGAATCATTTTCTGAGTCGATTAAGCTATGTCCGTCCGTCCATGTAAACTTTGTCATCAAACTACAGGTCGCAATTTTGAAGATAATTCAATGAAATTTGGTACGTGATCTTCTATTGTCCC